TCTTCCCTTTTTTCTCTCTGCTCCCCCATCAGGCCCAGGAAGCCCAGCTGAGAGAGGATGCTGACATCTGGGAGATGCTTTCCCGGCTGGCAGCGGAAGGCAGCCCCCCCAAGTCCCCCCCACCCGCCAAACTGCGGAGACCCCCTGTGGCCCGCAAAGGCTCTCTGCCTTCTCCTCCTCCTCCTCCTCCTCGCTCGGCTGCTCCCCCAGGCAGGACCTCTCTGCTCCCTCCTTCTCTGGACGCCCCTCCCGGCTCAGCCCCCCAGGTACAGCCTCTTCTGCCTTCCCCTCTGCATGCGCCGGGCCGGAAGGGGCTGGCAACCCCTGCTCTCCTTTTGGCTAAGTTGCCAACTTGGATGGATCAAAACATGTCTTCTTCTTCCTTCCTTCCTTCCTTCCTTCCTTCCTTCCTTCCTTCCTTCCTTCCTTCTCCTCCCTCCCTTCTCCTTCCTTTCTTCCTTCTCCCTCCCGCCCTCCTTCCTTCTGTCCTTCTCCCTCCTTCCTTCCTTCTGTCCTCCCTCCCTCCTTCCTTCCTTTCTTCCTTCTCTTCCTTCTCCTTCCTTCCATCCTTCTCCCTTCATCCCTCCCTCCCTCCTCCCTTTCTTCCTTCTCCTTCTCCCTCCTTCCTTCTGTCCTTCTCCCTCCCTCCTTCTTTCCTTCTGTCCTTCCTCCTTCCTTCTGTCCTTCTCCCTCCATCCCTCCTTCCTTCCTTCTGTCCTCCCTCCCTCCTTCCTTTCTTCCTTCTCTTCCTCCCTTATCCTTCCATCCTTCTCCATTCCTCCCTCCATTCCTCACCTCCTCCGTCCTGGAGTCCAGGCAGGTGCCCTTCCCAAAGAACCGTCTGTTGATGCCAACAACCGCCTGCTTTCTGCTTCCAAGCGCCGACTCTGGGGGGCCGAAGCCCCAAAGGTACCCTTGCGTGAGCTGGGTCCCTCTCTGTGGCATCCTACAGAAAAAAGGCAGGCAGGGCCAGGAGTCGGCTGTGGGCAGAGGATGCTGAAGCATCCAAAGCTTGGAGCCTTTCGTGGGTAGGTGGGTGGGAAGGGAAGGAAGGAAAGAAAGAGAGAAGGGAAGATAAGGGAAGAGAGAAGGAAGGGACAGGAAAGGAAAGGAAAAAAGGAGAGGAAGGAGGAAGGAAGGAAAAAAGGAGAGAATGAAAGGGAAAGGAAGGAGGGAGGGAGGAAAGAAGGGAAGATTAGGGAAGAAAGAAGGAAGGGAAGGGAAAGGAAAAGAAAGGAGAGGAGAGGAGGAAGGAAGGAGAGACAAAGAAAGGGAAAGGAGGGAGGGAAGAGAGAAGGAAAGGAAGGAAGGAGAGGAGGAAGGAAGGAAAAAAGGAGAGAAGGAAAGGGAAAGGAAGGAGGGAGGGAGGAAAAAAGGGAAGATTAGGGAAGAAAGAAGGAAGGGAAGGGAAAGGAAAAGAAAGGAGAGGAGAGGAGGAAGGAAGGAGAGAGAAAGGGAAAGGAGGGAGGGAAGAGAGAAGGAAGGAAGGAAGGAGGAAAGAAAAGAGAAAGAAAGAAAAATAGAGAAGGAAAGATTAAGGAAGAGAAAAAGAAGGGAAAGGAGGGAGGGAGGAAAGAAGGGAAGAAAGAAGGGAAGATTAGGGAAGAAAGAAGGAAGGGAAGGTAAAAGAGGAAAGGAGAGGAGAAAGGAAGGAGAGAGAGAAAGGAAAAGGGAGGGAAGAAAGAAGGAAAGAAAGTGAAGGGAAGATTAGGGAAGAAAGAAGGAAAGGAAGGAAGAAGGAGGGAGGAAAGAGAAAGGAGAAAGAAAGAAAATAGAGAAGGGAAGATTAAGGAAGAGAGAAGGAAAGGAGGGAGGGGGCTGTTTTCCATCCCAGGGTCCTTCTTTCCTCAAAGGGCTGGGGGGGGTCGTGTGCTTTGTTCCGCCTTGAATTTCTGGAGCCGGGCTGGGCTGTGGTCCTGGCGTGAGCCTTGCCTGGTGTGTGTGTGTGTGTGTGTGTTGTCGGCCTGCCCCGCGGCAACCGTCTCCCCTCTTCCATCTCAGCGCTGGCTGCTCTACCGGGGACTCCCCAGGCTCCCCGAAGCCACTTTCTACTGGGAGCTGCCCAGGCCTTTCCTGGGGAACCAGGTAATCCCTCCTTCCCAGGTGGTGAGGCTGGGACCCAGCATGGTGTGGTTCTCTCTCTCTCTTTCTCTCTGAACGACCATCCTGCGTGGTATCACTTGGTTACGGGTAGTCCTTGACTTACAACCGTTTTTTTAGAGACCGAAGGGACAACGTTGCCAAAGAAAAGGGTGACTTATGACCGTCTCTCACGCTTAACGGCCATTGTAGCGTTCCCCAGGGTCACGGGATCAAAATTCAGGTCGTTCGGCAGCTGTCCCAGAGTTACGACGGCCGCAGTGTCCTGGGATGCAAACCAGACTCACAGAACGGCCGCGTTCCTAACTGAACGGCCGCCGGTGATCCCAACCGAGGCGCCCGTGAAATGGGGGCAGAGCTAGCGCTTGGCGACAAATGCCTTCGCTTAGCAACGGCAACGTTGGGCTCGAGGGCGTAAGTCGTAGGTCGAGGACTTGCCCGCGTGGCGCGGAGCCTTCTGGCGTGTGGCGCTTCTCCGTCATGGATAACACCGGAGAATGTGACCTCCTCACATTTCTCAGGTTGCTTTTTTTTTTCCAGAGCTTTTAACTCGAATGAGGTTGTGCCCGGCAATCGTTGAGGCATTTGTGTGAATTAAAATATCGGGGGAAAGTTTTAAGAAAGGAAGTTTCTTAAACTCCGAGGGAGATTCGTCGTATGAGGGGAGGGAGAGTCTTCCTTGGCTCCCACGGGCGCCTCTGAAGGCCTTGTGAGCTAAGCCACCGAAGAGAAAACCCATCTTGGCTTTTCGATTTGTGCCTCTGCTCCGTTGGTGGCTTGGTTTGTGGTACGAAAAGGCGTAGAAGCAGGGACACCCGTGGCCGGCGGCCTCTGCCTGGCCTACCTCGCTGAGTCACAGAGAAGATAAATTCCCCCACTGGGTCCAAGCAGGTTACGGGGGCCCCGGCCTTGAGCTGCCTGTTGGCGGCTTAAACGCCGTGTCTTGAACAAGGGGTGGGCCTCAAAAATTTTAGCAAGGAGTTCTCTTATCTGGTTGCGGGGTGGGCGTGGCCATGGTGGGCGTGGCCTAGCCAGCCTCCTGCACCACAGTGTGTGTGTGGGGGGGGGTGATTTTGCTCTCCCCGGACTCCTGAGGCTTTCCTCGACCCTCTGGGATGGCGAAAATGGCCTCCTTGGACTCTGGAGGCTCTCTGGAAGCCAGAAATGGGCCCATTTCCGGCCTTCTCAAACTTCTGGGAGGCCCATTTTTCTCCCTCCCCGAGCCTCCACGTAGGCCCTGCGCTTACCTGCATCCAATATGGGTCAGGTGGGGACTCAGGGGAGGGGTGGGCAAGAGTGGGATTTGGGGGTTCTCTGAATTGCGCAGCATCTTAGCTAGGGGCTCTCGCGAACCCCCAGCAGCTCCACCCGTGCCTTGAGCGCTGGTTCCTCTCGGTCCTGGATGAGACCGGAAGCCCCTCCTGGCTGGGGGCGGGGGAACGAGTGACCGAACAGAGGGTCTCCATCTCACCCCTGCAGGTGGGCTCCTACGGGGGACGCCTTCGCTACACCCTTTCCTACACGGCCGGAGGGAGAGGCACCCCGCTGCCCGACGCGGATGTGCAGATTACCGTAAGTTGGGGACGGGAGGCACCTTGCCTGCAAGTGGCCTTTGGTGGTGGGGGGGCTGGCTGGGAGGGGGAAGCTGGAGCCCCTCCCTCAGGAACACCCCTTCCCTTTACTGTAAGTAAACTGCTAGTAAGGAGAATGCCTATTGAATGAATCCGTGTATTAACTGCAGCTAGAACGGTGTTTGCACAAAATTGGAAAAGCGACGAGATTCCCGCGGAAGAGAAGCTGGTTAGGAAAATACGAGAATGTGCAGAAATGAATAGGCTAAGGCTGGCAATTAAAAGAGAAGGAGCAAAGTGAATATTATACGATACGGGAATCATTTTATTGATGGCTGGAAAATAAACATGGACGTTAGAAATTGAAGATTAGTAAAAAATAGTATTTTAAAAAAAATTTCGTTGTACGAGGTGCAATGACAATAAACTAAACTAAACTAAACACGTGAAAAGAATTAAAAATGTTAAGATGGGGCATGTGACAAGAATATTAAGTATACTAGTATTAAGTGAGAATAGAGCATTAGTACCAAGCAATGAATACGTATAAACTGTAAGGGTTATTGCACAAGATAGTTGTACCCAGATGACACATTGTTCAAATGGAAGATGGATTGTTTGTATAATATAATAAAATAAAGTAAAATAATTTTACTTTACCAAAAAAGGGGGAATCGTCCCCTTGCCATTTATGCTGCTGTAGTTTGCAGCTTCTCTCCAGCGTTCCGCCTGGCTTCCTCCGTCTTAGAGGAAGGAAGGAGGATTGGCCATTGGCCCCTCTGCCCCCTAGGAAGTGGAGTCGGGGAGGGGGCTAGGGCCCCTGGGGCTCTGCTTGAGACCCTCCCAGCTGCTGTGAAAGCGCCTCCCCCCTTGTTCTTCCTCTCTTTCAGGGCAACGACATCACGCTGGTGGCTTACCTGTCCGAGCTGCGGCCTCACGAGCACAAGGGATTTGAGGTGGTCTTCCGGGAGGTAAGGAGGCAAGGGAGAGCCATAGGAGGAGTGGGGGGAGGAAGGGAGGGAGCAGGCTGGCATTCCTGCACCCCCTTGTCACCTCCAGGGGGAGCGGGAGAAGCGGTCCAGCCGCCGGTCCCACCCGCGGCCTCTGGACTGCCCCTCCCCGCTTCCTTTTTCCTCTTCAGCAATTCTGGAAGCGGCCCGATGGGCAGCCCGCCACGCGGGAGCACCTGCTGATGGCCCTGGCCGACCTGGACGAGGTCCTCATCCGCGCCACCCACTCCACGGACATGCTTTCGGCAGGCATCACTGGCGTCAGTATGGAGACGGCGGTGCCCAACTACACCAGCCTGCCCCGGGCTCTGGAAGTGGAGGAATGCCGCTGCCCGCCCGCGTACCAGGGCCTTTCCTGCCAGGTGAGCTGAGCGGCGGGGGCCCAGCCGGACCTTTAGGTCTCAGAATAAGCCCTGACCCCCAACCCCCTAACCTTCCCTGCCTTCTCTCTTGCAGGACTGTGCGGCCGGCTACACCCGGACCGGCGGAGGGCTGTACCTGGGCCACTGCACGCTGTGTGAATGCAACGGGCACTCGGAATCCTGCCACCCTGAGACTGGCACTTGCTCGGTGAGAACCCTTCTGGGTTGCCGCCTTTGCCAGAGACTAGCAAAGTGTTCTAACCAAGGCTTCCTGAGACACCAACAAAGTCACATAAAACCCAAAACCCTTTTTATTTTAGTTCAGTGGCTGTGAATTATTGTCATTCACAGCTCGGAACGAGTCTTAACGGGTTATAATTAGTCCCAGGGACGTTGGCCAAAGTTCTTCGGGAGAAGTCTGATAAGAACACACCTTTATCTGTCTTGAAGCGCAGCCAACAACTCAAGTCCCAATTAGTCTTTCCAAAACCAGAGAACAAATTCACCACGGAGCTTTCAGAGTCCAAACCGATCGACGTTGCTTCCTGCAAAGGTTTCTCTACCTTTGCCTGTCCTTTATACCTTAGCGGAGGGGCAATCTCCTCCCAGCCTTACTCCTGAGTCGCCCCTTTTGTTTCAGCTGCTCTTATCTTCTGGCAGCTCTGCGCACTGGGAACAGGCTCCCCTCGTTCCTCTGCCTTGCTGCTGCCAGACTCTGGAGGCTCTGGAGGTCAGCACATAATTCCCAGATGGTCCTGGCCCCATCTCTGCCTCGGACTCAGGACCATAAGTGCCTGGGGAGGGGGCTGGAAGGAGCAGGGGCTTTCTTGGCGCCCCTCAGGTGCCAAGCAGGGGCTCTGCCCTGAGCGGCAGCCGTTTCCTCCCTTGCAAAAGGCATCCGGGCAGCTTTCAGTGGCCTCAACGGGGCTGCTCAAAGCTCTAAACCGTGCATGGAATCTGGCAGCCAGGAGAAGAGAATGTGGCGCTGGGGTGTGTGGCAACGACTTCGGTTACGCAACGGGGAGTTGGGATACTTTTGCAGTTGGTGAAACGGCCTGTTTTGAATATTGGCCTTCCCGTTTATCCTGTTCTTAATTAATTGGATCAAACGGGGCTTTTCTTTAAATGAGCATTTTATTCTGTTGAAAAAGCAGCAGTGGAAACTTGTGAGGAGGGTTTGGCTTCCAAGTTGGCCTTCTCGAGTCTCTTCCCCTTCCCCTGGGTTTCCGTTCCCCTTTCTTTCCCACAATGACAATCCTTCTGTTCTTCCTTCCTTCCTTCTCCCTCCCTCCATTCCTCCTTCCTTCCTCCCTCCCTCCTCCTTCTCCCTCTCTCCTGCCTTCCTCTCTCCCTCCCTTTCATCGATCCCATCTCTCCTTCCTTCCTTCCACCTCCATCCTTCCTTCTCCCTCCTTCCCTCCTCCCTCTGTCGCTTCCTCCCTCCTCCCTTCTCTCTCCCTCCTTCCTCTGTCGCTCCCTCCCTTCTTTTCCCCTTCCTTCCTTCCTTCCTTCCTTCCTTCCTTCCTTCCTTTCCTTTCCTTTCCTTTCCTTTCCTTTCCTTTCCTTCCTTCCTTCCTTCCTTCCTTCCTTTCTTTCCTTCCTTCCTTCCTTCCTCCTCCCTCTTTCCCTCCCTCCCTCCCTTTGTCACTCCCTCCCTTTTTCCCCTTCCTTCTCCCTCTATCTCTTCCTTGCTCCCTCCTTCCTTCTCCCTCCCTCTCTCCTTCCCTCCTCCCTTCTCTTTTCCTCCTTCCTCTGTCGTGCCCTCCCTTTTTTCCCCTTCCTTCCTTCCCCCCCTCCCTCCTTCCTCTTGCTCCCTCCCTCCTTCTTTTCTTCTGTCCCTCCCTACTTCTGTCACTCCCTCCCTTCTTTCCCCTTCCTTCCTTCTCCCTCCATCTCTTCCTTGCTCCCTCCTTCTTTCTCTCTCCCTCCTTCCTCTGTCGCACCCTCCCATCTTTTCCATTTCCTTCCTTCCTTCCTTCCTTCCTTCCTTCCTTCTCTAGCACTGCCTGCACCATGCAGCTGGAGAGTTCTGCGAACAGTGCGCCCCTGGCTACTACGGAGATGCCACCGCTGGGACCCCCGAGGACTGCCAGCCGTGCGCTTGCCCATTGCCAGATCCTGAGAACCAGTAAGCCACCTGCCCTCTTGTGGGTGGGGAGGGGGAGCAGGAATCCCTCTCGGCGAGAGCTCAGGATGGCACCTACTTCTTTTTTGGCAGATTCTCGCGGACGTGCGAGAGCCTGGAGGGCGGTGGCTACCGCTGCACTGCCTGCGAACCTGGTTACGCTGGCCAGTATTGCGAACAGTGAGTGGGTCTCTCCCTGGAAGGGCTGAGCTGGGATGCGGCAGCAGCCCCTGAGCGCCTCTCCTGATGGGTCTCTGGTTCTCCCCCTAGATGTGCCTCTGGATACACGGGCAACCCAAACATCCATGGGCAGAAATGTCTTCCTTTGGGTGAGCAAAGATGCGCTTGCTCGTCGTGGAGTTGTCGTCCTACGAAACGGGGGTGGTGCTCTGTTTTCCGCCGCCTGGCGTACAGGTGCTGAGCTGCCCCCTCCCCTCTGCCTCTCCCTCTGCCTCCTCCTCCTCCTTCTCAGGACCCCCCGAGCAGCCCCGCCTGGTCGTCCGAATCCATCCCTCCCGGACGGCTGTGTCCCAGGGCAGCGAAGTGACGCTGCGGTGCCAGGTCAGTGGGGAGCCGCCCCATTTCTTCTATTGGTCCCGTGAAGATGGGCGTCCCGTGCCAAGTACTGCCCAGCGCAGGGAGCAAGGTGAGTTTGTGCCATCCCCCAACTGGGCAGATTGCAAAACATGTTGGGGAGGGGTGTGTGGAGACCCAGAAGGGGAGGGACAGTGGCCCGGGCAGGGAGTGTCGTGTTTTTGAAGTCAAACGAATCTGTGGCCTGGTTGCAAACCACAGAAACCGAGTCAAACCAATCTTGGACGGGGAGGATCCCTCGATCTCTGAAGGGTCCTTTACAGCAGGGGTCGCCAACCTTTTGGACCTCAGGGACCACCAAACTCATAATTTTAAATCCCAGGGACCACTAACCGGTCTCTGTGGGCGTGGCCTAATTTGTGGGTGTGGCGTGGTGGTCATGTGACTGGCTGGGCATGGCTGGTATGTAAATATTATAAATGTTGATATAAATGTTGAATTTTTTATTTAAAAAAAGAGCAACTTTTACCCAAAATCAGGCAAAGCAAGGCAGATTGAGTTGCTCACAGAATCACAGATTCATTCAGAGATCTATCTATCTGCCATCGGCTAGCTCAGTCTGTCACATAAAATTTGCTGGCAAGCAAACTCACAAAATTAACTCACAACAGACCATGTATGTAAATATTGAATTTTGTATAAAAAAAGAACTTTTACCCAAAATCAGGCAAAGGAGGCAGACAGACTGAGTTGCTCACAGAATCATTCAGTGATCTATCTTATCTGCCATCGACTAGCTCAGTCTCTCAAATTTGCTTGCTGTGAGTCTGCACTGAATAATAGAACCTTCAGTCCTAAGGGAGGTTCGGCTGTGCTTAAAAGCAGAGCCGAAGACCTAAAGACTAGCTAGAAAGCAAGAAATCCAACCTTTTCCTGCTTTCTAGCTAATCTAAATCTCCCGGCACAGCAGAACAGCTGATGGTCGGAAAAAGGAAAAATAGCAATTTAGCAGGCAAGTTTGCCGGGTAAGGCATGAGTGGACGGAGAGCGTTCCTGCGGGCCACGTGGGCTGCGCAGCCTTGTGTTCCTGCGCAGCCTGGATTAATTGCTTTGGGGGGATGCTCTGTGGGTGAGATTTCTCTGCGGCCCACCAAAATTTTCTCGCGGCCCACCAGTGGGCCGTAGCCCACCGGTGGGCAACCGCTGCTTTACAAACCGCTGCTAGAGCAAAGGCTCTAGTTCTCAAGATTTCAACAGAGTGGACAGGGAGGGGCAAACGGCAGCCTATTCTGTTAGACCAGAGTTCCCTAACCTTTCCGGCTTGGCGGACCAGCAAGCTGGGGGGAGAGGCGATGCTTCTGTGTGCGTGGTGTACACGTGCGGCACTTACACAAACAGTGTGCATGTGCGCTTACCACTCACGCAAATGGAGCATGTGTGCAGGCTCGCTTGCCCGCTGCTCACACAAGCGGGGATGTGCGTTGCCGCGCTCACCTGCCTGGTTGCAAGCCACTCAAGGCCCGCTAGTGGGGTGTGGCCCAGAGATTGGGGATCAGAGATGGTCTTCAGCTGGTTCTGACCGGTTCTGGAGAACAGGTAGCGGAAATTTTGAGTCGTTCGGAGAACCGGCCAATCCCACCTCTGACTAGCCCTGTTCCCATCTATTCTCTACCTCTCAAGTCCCAGCCAGTTGTCTGGATCTCCTTTGGTTGCCCTGTCCAGGAGAACGGAGCTGGAAAGCAGGCTAGTGTGGGGTAGGAAGGGAACGGGCATTTTTTAGTAACCTTTTTCCCTGCCACGCCCACCCAAGGCAAGCCACACCCACAGAACCTGTAGTAAAAAAAATCTGAATCCCACTGCTGCTTGTAGGCAAAGCAGCTGGCTGGTTTCTGACTCAGTCATTCCTGAATCCCCCGCAGGCGTCGAGTTGCACTTCGCTAGCATCCGGCCTTCGGAGGCCGGTGTTTACGTCTGCACCTGCCGAAACCCCCACTTTACCAACTCCAGCCGCAGCGAGGTAGTCGTCACAGGTGAGGCGGAAGCTACTCAGAAACTGGGCTGCCGGGCGCAGGGAGGCATGTAAGGGGACCCCCCACTCCTCCAGCATAGCTGATGTGGGCTGGCTCCCTCGAAAGAGGGAGAGAGAGAACTGTGAGAGAGAGAGATAAAGAGAGAGAGAGAGAGCTGGGTCGGGACCGGCTGGGCAATGCTGACCGGCTTCTCTCGGCCAGCGCAGAAGGCCCCAGCAAGGCCATCTCCGTGACGGTGGAAGAGCAGAGGGTGCAGAACGTGAAAGCCGGCAGCGACGTCACCTTCCTCTGCACGGCCAGGAGCAAGGTGACTCTTTGGAGGTGGGAGAGAGAGAGAGAGAGAGAGGTGTGGGGAGGGGAATCCTTGCCGAGGGAAGGCGGAAGTCTAGCAGGCCAGATCCGAGAGGGCCTGGCGAGACCTGCAGTGGCACAACGGTGCCCAGGGGAAGCGCAAGTACCACCGCGGTTGCATGCCGAGACTCCCCCTGGACGTCCAGCCACGGACGCTGCCTCCTCTTCCCAAACCAGGCAGGGTGGGTGCATTTGGGCTCTTTCCTGCCTCTTCTCCCCACCCACCCACCCTTGTTTCTCTCCCCCGCCCGCCTCCTGCCTTCTCCTGCAGTCCCCCGCTTACACGCTGGTGTGGACACGGCAGAACAACGGGAAGCTGCCCAGCCGCGCCATGGACTTCAACGGCATCCTGACCCTCCGGAACGTGCAGCCGGAGGACGCCGGCATCTACATCTGTACAGGCTCCAACATGTTTGACATGGACGAGGGGATGGCCACCCTCTACGTGCAAGGTAGGACTGCAGCTCTCACGCGCCTGCCGGCTGCCAGGAAGCGGGGGAGTCCTCCTCTCCGGCTTGGCCCGCCAGCCCACATCTCCCGAGCGCTACGCTGATCCGGGCCGCCAACCCCGGGACCAGCCGCTTCCTCGCAGGCTCACGCAAAGACACGCTTCTGCTCTCATCCATCGAGCGGAGGGCAGGAGGGGAAATGTCGGGGGGGGGGGGGGGGGGGGGGGAGAAGCTTTTGGGGACGGGAGGCCCGTCTCTGAAGACGGCGGCGCCTGGACTCGCAAGGTTCCTGCTTGAGGCAGCTCAACACGCGGCCCCCTTTTCACACGCGGCCCCCTCTGCCCCTCCCCCCCCAACCCTGTTTTCAGCTCCATCGAAGACTCAGATGTTCTATGGTCCCGTAGAAATGGTGGAAGGCCACAGACCTTGTAAGTCAGTTTGGCCTGCAGGTGCCTGTCCACCTCCCCCATTGGAAGCCGACTTTGCTTGTGGGCTGGTGCTGTTTGGCCTTTCTTCTCTTCCTCCTCCTCCTCCTCCTCCTCCCTCCTCCTCCTCCTTCTCTTCTCTCCTCCCCTTTCTCCTCGTCCTCCCTCGTCCTCCTCTCATCCTCTTCTCCTTCTCTTCTCCTTTTCCTCCTCCTCCCTCCTCTCTCGGGCTCTTCTTCCTCCTCCTCCTCCTCCTTCCTCTTTGCCCTCCTTCTCTCCTCCTCTTCCTCCCTCCTTTTCCTCCTCCTCCTTCTCTACTTCCTCTTCCCCCTCCTTCTCTCTTTTCTCCTCCTCCTCCCTCTTCCTCCTCTCTCATCCTCTTCCTCCTTCTCTTCTTTTCCCTCCTTTTCCTCCCTCTTCCTCCTCCTCCTTCTTCTCTTCTTCCTCTTCCCCCTCCTTCTCTCCTCTTTCTCCTTCTCTTCTCCTCCTCCCTCTTCCTCAGCCTCTTTTTCCTCCTTCTCTTCTTCCTCTTCCCCCTCCTTCTCTCCTCCTCTTCCTCCTTCTCTCCTCCTCTTCCTCCACCCTCCTCCTCCTTTCTCTTCCTCTTCTCCTTCCTCTCCCTCTTCTCCTCCTCTTCCTCATTCTCCTTCTTCTCTTCTTCCTCTCCCCCCTC